GTTTCCTTCGGGGTTTTTTTCCTAAATAGAAAATTGGGCTTCTGTCCACAGAAATTTTGAAGGAAAATATCTCCTTTCCTAGGAGGATGAGGACGGCAGTATTTCTCATCAAAGAACAAACTTGGAAGAGATGGTTGACAATGGAAGTGCCAACCACAAACTGAATATTTTGAAAAAAAACAGCCTGAAATGGCTCCATGGTAATTTGTAAACTTTTTTAATTTAATGGATGAAAACTTCGATCTGATAAAAAAATATAAACAGAAAAAAACACCGGTTTCCGGGGAGAAGTTCACATTTTCTACATGGAAAAAAAAAAAAACAAACAAAACAAAAACCAGTTCCCAGCCCGCTCCATGGCAGCTGTCACCCACTGCCTCACCTTGGTAGTTTAAAACAAACCAAATGCCAAAGAGTCTCCTGTGGGTAAGAGGTACCAAGTCAGTTCAGGACTTTCTCTGGGGCATCCATCACCCCTGTCCCATCCTGAGAGAAAAAAATACTTTGGGAGTTATGAAGCCAGCAGCTTTTTCAGAAGGATGCAAGCGGCTTCCAGCAACCCCTCGCCCAGCCGAAGAAGTAGGTGCAACTGAGGAAGGAAAGTACCCAGCGGTCCCCACTGTGGGCGTCACAGCCAGCCCCTGCAAGTAGTGCTCACACATCACCCGGGCTGCCAAATTCACCCAGGGGGGACTCAGCCCACCTCCGAGAGAAATTCCCTCCCCTTAATTGTTTTCCAACCTCTCCATCCTCTCTGGTAAGCATTATTTCAGTTCATTTAAGTAGCACATCACTCTCAGATTTGGATTTCTTTTTTGTTGTTGTTTTTGCTTGTTTGTTTTAAACAGTGATTTTTTTTTTCCTCCTTTCCCCCCTAGAGCTACAAAAAAAAATTACAAAATAAAACACGACCCCAAAAACAGACTAGAACATTTCTAAGTGTAGGGCTCCTCACCCTTCACCAGTCTTTGAATTTTTCATTACTTTTAAAGTTGGAGTACAAAAATAGAGCCTCTCTCATTTTTTTTCCTTTTTTTTTTTTTGTAAAAACCAAGCCAACCCCCCCCAAATTATCAACAACTAGAGCAGGTAATTTTGTCTTTTATCATCTGCCTCTCTCTTTCTTTTTTTGTTTAATACCCATATGGGAAAGTCTCTACATATAGTCCACCAAGCTTGGAGGAGAGTCCTCTGGGAGAGGTGCAGGCAGGGCGAGCAGAGGCGAGCAAGTCAAGGACCCGCCCTGGAGCTGGAGTTTCTAGTCCTTTTACTTCTCCGGTTGAAGGGGTAGTTGAGAAACTCAAAGCGCCTGTGGGGCTCAGTGGTCTGGTGGCCCTTGGGAAGCCTCTTCATGAAATGCACCTCTCGTTGGTGCTGTCGGGTCTTGGAGCCCTTGCGCGGGCGGCCCTTGCGGGTGAAGGCCATGTACCAGCCCTCGTACTTGGCGTTCTGCAGCGCTGTGTAGTTGTTCTCCAGGACGATCTCCGTGAAGACACAGTCCTTGCCTTTGCCGTTGCTCTGAGAAGGGGACAGAGGAGGATTTAAGCAACAGGCACTAGATCAGAGAGTTTCTTCCCGCTACCCCAAGCTGGACCAGCTGGTGTGGCATCAGGGTTGCAGTGTTCATGAGCAGCCAAAGGCTCGCTTTCTCCATCTCTTCCCCTACAGATCACAATTGCCCAAAACCTGCTTTTTCTTAGAAAGTTGTAGGGAGCAGGCATTGTGGCATGGGCAGATGCTGCTCATTGCAGCTTGTGTCCCCAGTGTGACTCCAGCACCAAGCTGACCCCATGCAGCTTGTTCCAGCCTTCATTTTTACTGCACCCGTAAGGGGACTTTTGCCCGCTCCCATCCTGTCCTCATCCATGCCAGAGACCGGATTCCCTCGCCAGCATGACCATAAGCAAACTCTCCATCTCAGTGGCAATTCATCTACCCATCCTATGCTCCCTTGAGGTCTTTAATATAGAAGGGGCATCAAGGGGCAGGACAGGCGATGCAGGGTCCGTGGGGACGATGTCCACAGACACGGGTGGCAGGGAGCCTGGAGGCAGCTGGAGGCTGAGCTCCTCCCGGTCATGGGCAGCAGTGAGACCAGGGAGGGGATTCACATTGGCCAGCCCCAGGGAAGGACCCACCATGGAAAATTCTCCCAGACAATCCCTGTCCCAGCAGGATTTTGCACATCCGGCCCCCTCTGCCCGCAGGGAGGAAGCATTGAGGCTCAGAGGGAGCGTGACTAACTGGTGCACGGTGGGGCCTGGCTTTGGGGCCAGCCCAATGGAGCATCTTAACATTCTTGACACTTGTACCATGTAATCGGGGAAAATAGCCCAGCAATTCGCCTATTTGTTCGGGGGAGATACAAGGAATGCACCCCACACAGCACCCGCCTGCCTCCCTTGCTCCCCCCATCCCTCCCACCTCCCGGGCTGCAGGACGGCTCATCCCCCTGTCCTCCAAAGGGATGTGCTGGCTGAGCCGTTGGGACCCACATCCCATCTCCCCATCCACACAGATGGGCTCCATATGGGGCAAGAGCTCCTCTCCCAGCAAACCCTACTCAGCACCCACAGTGCATCCCTGGCTCTCCTGTGCCCTTGATCCCAGCCCTTGATTCCAGCATCCTACCTTGCCAATCAGCTTCCCCTTCTTGTTCATGCAGATGTAGAAACCTGTGGCCGCTCCCTTGATGCGCACACGGCTCCCAAAGGTGTCTGTCTCCACAATGAGCTTGGCTGGGGAGAGCAGTGGAAGGAAAGAGAGAGGGAAGTCAGAGGGGCTCTGAGATGGGGCAGGCATGGAGATGGAGACCCCAGCACTGCCTGTTGCTGGGCACTGTGGGCACACGCTAGGCAGGGAGGCGACTGGGCCAGAGAGTGCCCTGGAATCAAGGCACAAGGGTAAGAACCAGCCTTGGCCTCTCTACCCTGCCACTGTGTCCCTGCATGACATCGGTCACGTCCCTTTGCCACCCTGAGCCACACTGGACAGGGAGATGCTCTGACTTGTCCAGTTCTGTGGGGCTCAGCATCACAGGTGTCACAGAGACATCCCAGAAGGGAGGCAGGGCAGCGAGCAAGGCACACACTGGCCAGTGGAGAACAAGCCAGTTGCCCTGCAAAGCGAGGCAGGTCTGGACGATCCTGCAGGCAGGAAGCAGACAGGCACCCTCTGGAAGTACATGGCATGCTGCCAGCTGTCCCCAGCCCAGGGGACACCGCTCCGAGTCTCTCTGCTGGGCCAGGGCTGCAGGAGGAGCAGTGACTTTGCAGCTGGCAGGGGAGGCGTGAAGGGTACGGCCATCCTTTTAATGCCTTTCACCTTTGCACGAGTCGAGAGGGCATATTGATTTGGTCTCAGTTTTTTAATGGAGGCATCGATCGACTTCCGAAGGAGCTATGCAAATCGCCGGGTCGATGAGCCGCCTATAAATAGACCTGTCACCTTCCCTCCCTGCCTCCGCCCTGGGAACCAGAGCTCCGGAGCCCATCCATCCCCAGGGAAGGGGGAGGATGGGGACAGGACATCCTTCTCCTCAGCCCTGCAGCTGCTGTCCCCAGAGACAGCTCCCCTCCCCACGGCAAGCCCCAACAGAGATGGTGGCTACCTGTTTGCACCTCAAAAGGGCTGTGCTGTGCCAAGCACCAAAGATTCCCCATGGCACTAAAAAGCCAGACAGGACTGTCCCATCTCACCACAATCACCTCTTGCCCAGCATCAGCCCCTAGTACCGTAGTGCGATTTGGCAAGGTGACTAGAGCGCAGCCCACAAAGCTTCCAAGTCTTTAGCCTTATTATGGGAATAAGCCCATTGATGCCTTAGTTCTCCTCTCCGATCTCTGCACAAGGGCTGCTCAGTTCCTCAGCACTGCAGTCCACCCCGGCTTGCACATCTCTAGCCCAGGACACTCAGTCACCTGGGAGCCCCAGCAAGGGCAGTTGTGTAGCTCTGGAGCTGGTGGCTTTGCAGGAGGATGCTTTAAATGGCGGAAAGGGTCTGTGGACACATGCACAAGCTAAAGTGAGCCTAGATCACACTCTGGGCTAGGAGCAAATTGCTGCCTCTCTGTGTCTGCGATGTCCTGATCCTGCATCCCTCGCATTACAGGCATACGGGCACTGCTGAGGTCAATGGCACTGAGGGTGGAGACAGCAAGCGGGCCGTGCTGGCAGCAGCTGAGTTGAGCAATGAAAAGGACATCCCAAAATTTGCTGAGGCCGACTGGTTTGGTGATGCTGGGCAAGCCAGTCTCCCTGCACATGCAGGCACCCCCTTCCTGAGCTCCCTCCTGCCAAAATCACCCTGCAGCACCTCTCATCCCCAAGCTGCCCTGCAGCCCCCCCCATCCCCAGTCAGGCACAGACTGGACTCAGAGCCGAGAAATGTCAAAAGTGCCAATTCCAGACCGTGCCACCCCGGGCACGAATGCCCAGAGCCCAGCACACACTCAGCATCCCCAAAATGAGCCACGAGAGCCACGGCACTCTGCAAATGAAGC